AAATTAAAAAAAAAAAAAAAAAGAAGGTCTGCCTTGAGCACTCTGCTCTTTTGAGATCTATCTACATGGGATCCATGTAAATGGAGAAAAGACTGACGTTTTTAAAGGCTTCATTTTGCTCAGATCAATCATCAACACTCTTGGAAGCAGCAGTCAGGATATCAAACGACATATTGCATTAGACAAATCTGCTGCACAAGACCTCTTTAAAGTGTCGAAGACCAAAGAAGTCAGTTTGAGGACTAAGGTAAGCCTGATCCAAGCCATGGTATTTTCAATAACCTCATATGCATGCAAAAGCTTGATAGTGAATATAGAAGGTTGTAAAAGAATTGATAGATTTGAGTTGTGGTGTTGGACGAGAAAATTCTAAGTACCATGGGCTGCCAAAAGCACAAACTAATCTGTGTTGGAAGAAGTGCAGTCAGAGTGCTCCTCCGAAGCCAGGATGGCCAGACTTCGTCTGTCATACTCTGGATTTGTTGTCAGGAGGGGCAAGTCGCTGGAGAAGGATATCATGTTTGGTAAAGTAGAGGGTCAGAGAAAAAGAGGAAGACTCCCAACAAGATGGATTGGCACAGTGGCAGTATCAATGGGCTCAAACACAGCAACGATTGTGAGGTTGGCCCAGGTTGGGCAGTGTTTCATTCTGTTGTGCATAGGGTCACTATGAATCCGTACCACTCGATGGCACCTAACAACAACAACATGTGAGATCCAATTGACAGCAGAAACTCAAAAGGTCAGACAGGAACCTCAGGGCACAATGAGTCTATGTTAATCAGGAGGAACAGTTTGGAAAAAGGAGGTCAGAAGGGTTGCAGAACCTGAGGAACGTCTTCAATGTCACTGAATTGTACCTGTGAAAATTACTGATATGTATTTTGCTGTGTATACATTCAACACTTTAAAAACAAGATGTCATATACAAAAGGAGGCTTCAAAAAGTTCATGGAAAATGGAACTAAAAGATAATGGAATCTTTCCACACATTTTTAGAAATCCTCTCGTATAAAGATGTGACAGAAAAAGAACCCAAAAGGTATCCCAGAATCAGGGACCACAGCAAAGAGGAGCTCAGTTGCAGGCATGGTGGTAAACAGAGTTACTTCTCACCTGGGCGAGTCCATGTGACCTACTTCTAACTAAGCAGGCACTACAGAGGAAGGGCTCTCCTGGAGAGTAGCGAGGAAGCCCACCCGTCTGGAATCAAGATATCGCAATGCTGGCAAAAGCAACCTACCTCCCGTCCTCGATCACCCTCCAGTATCTCCTCAACTTCTTGGAATCGGAGGATGGTGTGTTTGATCCGAAAGAACAGCGACCGCTCCCAGTAGATGGCACCTGCTACTGGGGGGTGGTTCTTACACAGCTGGGGGTTGTCCAGGTTCTGAACAAACAGTTTGTTGACTATGTCGATCTGGAAAGCAAGCAAACATGCGTGATACACCATTGGTGTATTAGTCAGGAAAGACTGCACTCTATGATGTGTGTCTTTAGTGGAAAGAAGAGAGGTTCTGGGAGGTTAAGAAATGCCCTAGGATACAACTGCGCTTTTATCGCTCATTAGTTGTAACGTTGTCATATACTCAACTATGAATTTTTGTCTATTGTTTAACAAGCAATGTTGCACTCTGCCTTAGAATTACAGACCATGCCCCACTGCATGGACCATGGAGCTTCAAAAGAGTTTGTGGGGAAAAGGAATTAACGCATACTGTAATTTTTCCATGAACTTTTTAAGCCCACCCCCCACCCCCATACCTGTTTGATTGAATTACTGAAATTCTAAAATCTATTCCAGACATGACCAGATGCCACCCCTACATTTTAAAATGTGCATTTTGTACTTTTATCTGGGTACTTAATTAGGCATGGTGTTGACAAGTACTGCCAAGTGAGTTCCGCCTATAGCAACTCTGTATACAGTTTCTGAGGAGCGACTGGTGGGTTTGAACCACCGATCTTGCAGTTCATACTGAACTTGTGGTCCACCGCATTATCCTGCAGCGCCACACCAGGGGTCCAATAGGTACTGTTGTTGTTTGTTAAGTACCGTGGAGTGGGTTCCAACTCATAGTGACCCTACAAAGGGTTTCTGAGGCTGTAAATCTTTACCGGAGCAGAATGCCTTATCTTTCTCCCACGGAACAGCTGGTAGTTTTGAACTGCAGAACTTGAGGTTAGCAGCCCAATTCGTAACCACTACGCTACCAGAGCTCCTTCCAGTATGTATAGTAAGTAATAAGAAACCCTGGTTAGAAGGCAAGAGCAGCTACTCAGGAGAAAAGATCTGGCTGTCTGCTCCCACAAAGACGACACCCTAGAAAACCCTTTGGGGCAGTTCTACTCTGTCACATGGTCTTATTATGAATCTGAAACCACTCAAGGTCACACAACAACAGCAACATGACTTTTACACACTACAGTGATGACCATTATTTCTAACCCCCAGGGCCCATCACAACAGGAAACATACAAAGTGCTAACTGATCAATTCTTACTGAAACACTACACCAAACCCGTGATAGCCTGTATTAGGTGGCAAGTCTATTGGGGGAAAAGCTGTTGGCGTTTCCCTGGATTTCGGTGGGAGAGGCAGGTGATTCAACTGCTCATTCATTACAGCTGTGTTGGCTGGAAGGAGGGCTTCTGTTTACCTCTTTGCAGTACTGTGCAAGGATATCATTGAATTTCATCATCATCTGTCGGTTAATAGCTTCCCGTGAACGAATATGCTTAAATTTTAAAAGCATGTCAAAGGCTGCTTCAGCTGATCGAAGTGTCTTAAAAGATTCATCAATAAAACTTTTTGCTTCTTTCTCAATGACCTGTCCACCCCATGCAAAAAAAAATAATAATAAAATGAAGTACAAGTCAAGGATATTGGCCTCATGCTGACGCAATAACTCTGCAAAAACCAAGAAAAGAAGAAAGCACGGCAGTGCCTTGGAAGCTGGTGTCAGGGCAGGAGACCGCTCGGGCAGTTTGGAAGCAAATGGCTGCGTAGGGGCATCAAGAGCAACCCGGCATTTCTGGAAGAAAAGACTCAGGAAATCCTATCTAGGGAGACACCCAGCTTCTCGGATTATTTGCTCAACATACAGGTTGAATAACTATGATGAAAGAATACAACCCTGTCACACATCTTTCTTAAATTTAAACCACTCAGTGTTTCCATGCTCTATTCGAACACCTGCCTCTTGGTCCAGGTACAGATTCCTCATGAGCACAATTAAGTGTTCTGGAATACTCATACTTCACATTGTCCATACCTTGTCATGATCCACACAATCAAAAGCCTTTGTGTAGTCAATAAGGCACAGGTAAACATCTTTCTGATATTCTCTGCTGTCAGCCAAGATCAGCAATGATATTCCTCGTTCCATGGCCTCTTCTGAATCCGGCTTAAATCTCTGGAAGTACTCTGTCAATGTATGTTTGCAGCCGTTTCTGTATTACCTTTAGTAAAACTTTGCTCGCATGGGATATCAAAGAGATTGTCTGATGATTTCTGCTTTCCGTTGGGTCACCTCTCTTTGGAATGGGAACAAATACTCCATGCTAAAATATAGGCCCACCCTGCACCCTAGCCCTCTGGGTTCTTGATAGGCAGCATACACACAGCCCACTTTGCTAGCTTTCTTTCCCTCTGCTACCTACTCAAGAGGCCCTAGGGACTTGCAATTTAAGTACTCAGCTGCTAACCACAAAGTTGGCAGTTCTAATCCACCCAGTGGCTCTGTGGGAGAAAGAGCTGGTGATAAGCTCCTATAAAGTTTATAGCTATGGTTTAACTTTCAGCCAAACAACAGACTAGTCACCAGGGAGGTAGCCACACTTCAGAGCAGTCAATCACAAGAGACTGAAGGGCAGCATTTCCTCAGGGAGAAAGCTCAGGAGGCAGGAAGGGGTGACCGGAAAGCAGAACGGCGGGAAACGGGAGACACAGGAAGGAAGTTAGAAGAATGCCGTCGCATTGTGGTGACTGCAATCGGTGTCACCCATCAGAACGTGCGTGAATTGTTGAATGGAAAACCAGTTTGCTCTGTAAATGTTCACCCAAATCATAATGAAAAGGTTAAAAAAAGATGACAGCCAAGACAACCCTATGGGTCAGTTCTACTCTGTCATGTGAGGTGGCTATGGGTCAGAAACGACATGATGGCAGCACACACCTCCGCCACCTGTTCATGTCTTCCGTGCACTATTCTTATTCTTCCTCCAACACAGCCGGGTCTTTCTGCCTCTGTTCCTCCTTCCTGCAGATCTCACCAGCTAAGACCCACTATGTTCTCAGCCCCTACTCTAGCTCCCATCTCCATCCCTCCAAACTTCCCTGTGTTCTAACATGTTATTTTCTAACATGTTGTTTTCCATACAGCACCAACCAAACCAAACCGACTCCGTCTCTCAACCTACATGGCATCTTGTAATTCTCCTGCCCCATTTCACCAGAACTTAAAGATAGGGGAGCTCATGCTGTAGGAAATGAACGTTTGACAAATGCCACTGTGTTGAGTTCTATTTAAAGTTATTTCACCTGGAGAACTGTTTCAGGTTTTGCTCGTTTTAACAAATAAGCAGGTGTTACTTCTGTGGGTTTTAAAAACGAAACACTAAGAATAACTAAGTAATTCAACTACTTGCACGTGGGGAAAAGCATAGGCCACCACCACCACCAATTTCCAAACCCAAATCTACGGATGTGCTACTTGCCAGAACTTCGATCTTGAAGTCGTCCATCACGTATTTCCAGTACTGGGCGGACTTGATACTGAAGGGGTCAAAGGTTAGATTCTCCATGGGGCTGACCAGGCTGTCCACCCGGCATAGGACATCATCAATGCGCTTGGGATCCCCAGTCACGGCCTTCAGCTCTGGACCGAATATGTTGTAAAATTCTTCTATCACCTGTGTGATCAAACAAAGCACAATGAGTGTGACCTGCAGGGTCCTTCAGACTGGTCTCCAGAAAAGGCCTCAGATCTGGGTTTTCCCGAGGGCAGGAACCCTCCACGCCTGACACACTGCACACAGGCTCCCAGCCCGGTTCTCAGAGTAGCTCCATGGTGTGCACGTCAGGCACTGCCGACTTCTCTCCCGTCCTGGCCACCATGCGGAGCCCCTTTCAATGCCAGGCTACTTTCTGCCTTGGGGTCTTTGCACCTGCAGTTCAGAGAGCCTCACTCAGGCCTGCCTTTCACCTCTGCTGTAAAGTGTACGGGGACTCACGGCACCCTCATGATGACTAGTGGACTCTGGTTTTTCAGGCACTTTCTCCCCGAGCACCACTGAGTGGGCTCAAACTGCTAGCCTTTCATTTAGTGGCTGAAAGCATTCACCGTTTCCACCATGAGACACCCACAGCAGATGGTAGAGGCTCCCTGAGAGCCAGACAGGCCACCCGCCTGGCCAACTCTAGCATCTCCCTGGAAGAGAGTGGGTCTCCTCTAAGAGTCAAGCTGATACCCATCAGGCAGACGAGTCACTGCCATGACCACATCCCAGCCCCACCTGTGCAGCGCCTCAGCGTCCCACCTGCAGAATATCATACAGGTCCTGGCAGATGATTGCCATGTAATCTGTTCTCTCAAACAATCGCTTCCGGTCAAACTCCCATCGCGCTTCTCTCCCGGAAGCCTCAATCTTGGCCCGCACATCGAAATAGGACTTTTTCCACAAGGTAAGGGTATTCTTGGCCTCCAAGGTTTTCTGCTGTGCACTAGCTCGATTTTCTCTGCAAACAAAGCGCAGCGATGAGGGGAGCATGCGCAGGGCTGTGGCAGGCTGAGTTCTGCTTCCTGGAGGACAAGTCCTACTGAGGAAGGAGCCACCTGATTTCTCACTTGCAAAACTCACCACCCCCCTGTAGAGCAGGGCTTTCCCAGGAAGCTTTCTGCCTGGGCTGCAAGAGACCCCACTGGAGATCCCAGGTGACGGCAACAATGCTCGTATTGGGCATCAATTGCAGCTAGACAGACTGTCTTTTCAGAAAGTACTTATGAAAAGTGCTTGTACAATTGGTCTGTGGAGGCTGTGTCCCCTAAATGGGGCGCCTTCGGTTCAGGACTGAGGCTCCTCTGACTTTCTGCCTTCAGTCTCCCCATGGCTAACTCAGGAAAAAGGTCTGGGTGAAAATAACCAGCCTGCATAGCCACAGTACCAGGCCACACAAAGGAATGACATTCTCACAAAGGAATGACGTTCTCATACACACTAGCCAAGGAGGGTCCTCCAGAACACGATGCTGAGGGGAGGAACCAGACATAAAGACCACCCCATTGTAAAATTCCACTTCTGTAGACTGTCTAGGACACACACACGCATAGAGACGTGGTTGCCTAGGGTTGGGAGACCTAGTGTTGGGTTGCTCAGAGTGGGCAGTTTAAACCCTCCCGCAGCTCTGTGGGAGAACAATGAGGCTGTCTGTCTCAGAAACTATAGGTGGGACCTTTAACGGGTATGAGGCTGCTGTCTGAGGTGATGGAAAAGTTCTAAGATGGATTGTGGAGATGGCTGTGCAACTCTGTGAGTGGGCTAGAAGCCCCCGAACTGTAACCTTTCCATGGGAACATCACAACAGAGCTGTCCAGAATCTAAACGCACACACACTCAGAGGCCACGGCAAGGCCTTACCGGAACAGAGTGTGCAGATTGATGACCTTGCAGACCCGCTCGGCAATTTCCCAGGCGATGCGCTCCATGAGGGGAATCATCCTGTCGTCTCGGTTGTAGTGCCGGGAGATAATCCACACCATGCGCAAGGCGTTCATCATGGAGGGGATGGTGTCCAGGACCACGTGGAAGCCAGACCCATGGGTGAGGTTCTACCGAGAGCACATACAAGACAGGGGAAGGTGGATTCAGAGGCCTTTGTCTAACAGTGAGTGTGCAAGAGTCTCACTCTCCTTACTGCCCAACAGTGTGCAGTTTACAGGGAGAGTGCTTCCACACACAACAGCAGCTAGAAATAGGCCACCCTCCACCACAGACAAGATGCATGCCTAACTAAACTCAGCAATTTGGATATGTGTATAAAGTGGAGAAAGACGAGGCTTTCTGCTCCTGTAAAGATTTACAGCCTCGGAAACCCTATACAGGGTCACTATGAGTCGGAACTGATTCCACAGCACACAACAACAACAATAAAGTGTGAGGCTGCTGCTAGCTGGTATTCAGTATCATCGAGTCGGTTCCAACCCATAGTGACCCTGTACAGGGTTTCTGAGGAGTGACTGGTGAGCTTGAACTGTCGACATTGTGGTTCAACCCGACCTTGCAGTCCAGTGCACTATGGAGTCCTGGTGTGGCGTGTTTTTTCTTTTTTGTTTTGTGTATATATATATATGGAGAGCTGGTAGCGTAGTGGTTACGAATCAGGCTGTTAACCTCACAGTCAACAGTTCGAAACTACCAGCTGTTCCGCGGGAGAAAGACGAGGCTTTCTGCGCCTGTAA